TATGAGCAAAATCTCTCTCTTAAAAAAAATTTACTTTATTATTTTTAATTTTATTTTGAATCTCAAAAATTTATACCAAGACAAAAGATTATTTAATAAAAGTTATACCGACCCATTTAAAAAAAAACAAACCTGTCACATTTTTCATTGAGGTAAAGATGTAACTTGTGTGTGTGCAAGTTAGCGATTTCATTCATTACATTTGCAGTGTGTATAACTTTTTAAAATAATGAATTGGGACCTCAAAATGAATTCATGCTGCTGTGATACTTAACTGAAATGTGTTTTGAGTTATGAGAGTTACTCTTGATTATATGTTACCCGGGGGGACTGTTTAATGCACTTGGCTACATAGATCTGAACATTTTTAGCTATGGCTTGATATCCATATTGCATCATAAATATGTTATTGATACATTACTTTCTAGGTGGACATGTTATATTCTACGAGAATTGAGGGTAGGGATTCTTTATTATGAAATGGTTTCTTCCACTTTAAATAAATGTCTTTATACATATTACTAACTGTATAACCAATACACAAAGAGTTGTTTAATTATTAATTTGTAATATAAACTAAATATAAAGCTTCCAAATAAAAATACTAGAAGAAATATTTAGGGAAAAATATTGCAACATAAAAGCAATTAACTGACAGAAGCTTGTCAGCACTAGGAAACATTTATTCTCAGTTATAAATAGTACGCTTTTTCACACCGTTTTTATTCCAGTTTTGCATCAATATATCATTTGGACAGAAAGTGCTGATATTGTTTTCTTAGTTCTAGCTAGCAAAGGTATTGAAGGTGAATGTGATTTTAGTTACATATCCTTTTTCCTGTACTGTCTGTTTATTGTGTTTTATTAGACTGTTTAAAATACGTTGTCAAATATTATAGACTTGCTGATCATTTATATGCCTTAGTTTCTTTAATATTAACTATATATAAGGTGACTCATTTATCAGTTCTCTTATCTAGAGCTATCTCTAAATTTTGAGTGTTTTACTAAATGATACACAAAGAGTTAGTGTCTCCAAGTTTTCCATTCATAATGGATTACTGCCATGTGAAATTTATTACTAGACTTTCATATGAACAAGATAAAACACAGTCATTTTGTTACCTTGTGCTTTTCAGTTACAGGAGTGGTGATATACCTACAGTTTTGTGACATGATGTACTAAAAAAAAAATCTATGTTACAGAGAATGTGTGACTCAGTGTTTGTATGTGTATGCATACTCTTGCAGGATAAAGTTGTATTTGCATAAACCATAGTGATATTTTCTGAATCTGTGTGAACATAATGATTCAGTAAAGTATCATTATGTTTAAAATTTAAAAAATTGGTTTACAGTAATTAAATCTCTTAGTGAATATGAACCACAGTTACTGATCAAACTGTGTTGTAATGAACATTATATTTATTACTGGTTTAAATGGCTAGTAGAGATAACTTAAAGGGCTGTCAATTGGTCATTCATTAGATAATTTCAGGCATGCAAACTTACGGTGAATTTACCATGTTGTATAACATATACACTGTTGGCTTCTGATTTTGCTTGTAATATGAATAAATCCTGTTGCTTAGCATTTTAAGTTAGTATTATTTATTTTGTAAGTGAATATATATGTATGTGCATGTGCGTGTGTATATATATTTATCTATATCTGTGTATTTATTCTGTGGCTTTGAGCATACTGCTTAATTTCCCTGTACTTCGGTTGTTTCAGAAATGGGGATAAAATAGTCTCTGCTTCTTGTTAAGGGCTAAATGAGTTATAAACTTGAAATCACTTATGATAATTCTTGAACTCTAGCAAACTTTTAGTATTAGCTAGCATCATCATTACTGTAATTAATTCAAGAAACCCTTACCCAATGACTTTTTTAGTTTTTAAAATTTTTATGCATTCAGTCACTGTACATCACTACAGCTTGTAAGGTGAATTTACCCAAAATGAATACACTTCATACCAGTCCAGTCAAAGATACTATACATGTTATCAACGGATAATCATTCCATTTCTATGTCCCATACATGTATTATCTATTTTTCTCCTTGATTCCTTTCTATACATTCTCCCCCTTCTCCCACCTGCTTCCCTCCCTGTTTCCAGTATCTGTGACCATTTTCCATGCTTCTGTATCCTCTAATCTTTCAGTTTCTGCCATAGAATGCAGAGAGGTAGTGTATGTCATGCAGAGAGATACAATGTCTCTCTTTCATAGCCTGGCTTGCTTCATTCAGCAGTAAATCTTCCATATTTGTCCACTTTCTATCAAATGCCAGGGTCTTATTCTTTTATGTCTGAATAGTATTCTATAGAATATATGGAATCCATTCATCTGTTCATGGACATTTGGGTTGGTTCCATGTCCTTAGCAATTATGACTATGCCACAATAAATATGGATATACAAGCACTTTTCCAACTGAGCATTCTCCTATTCTTTGGGTAGATACAAGGAATAGAATTGTTGGATCATATGGTAATTCTATTTGTAGATCTTTGAGGAAACTCCATATTCTCCACAGTGGCTAGACTAATTTATATTCCCACCCACAGTGTAGGAGCGTTCCCCTTCCACCACAGCCTCACCAGCATTTTTTTTTTTTTTTTTTAATCATCATCATTCTGACTGGGGTTACGTAGTATCTCATTGTGGTTTTGACTTGCATTTCACTTATGATGAGGGATGTTGAGCATTTTTTCATATGCTTTTTGGCTGTTCCTAGGTCTTCCATAGAGAATAGTTTGTTAAACTCATTTGCCCATCTTTTAATGAGGTTGATAATCTTTTTTTTTTTCTAGTAAGCCTCTTGAGTTTCTTATGTATTCTGGTTCTCAATCCCTTATCTGAGGCATGGTTTACAAAAATATTCTCTCCTTCCAAGGGTTGTCGATTCACACTAATTACTGTGTCTTTTGCTGTGCAGAAACTTCTTAATCTGATGTAATCCCACTTGTCTACTTTTGGGATTATTGTCTGTGCTTTGGCAGTCTTGTTTAAGAAGTCTTGCCTATGCTGATGTATCCCAGAGCTTCCCCAGTGTTTTCTGCCAGTAGTTTTATAGTTTGCAGTCTTAAGTTTAGATCTTTGAGATCTTTGACCCACTTTGATTGATTTTTGTTAATGGTGAGAGATAGGAGTCCATATTTGTCTTTCTGCAGATGGATACCTAGTTTTCCCAGCACAATCTACTAAAGAGACTTGTTTTAACTGGTGCTCTTTGTCAAAAATCAGTTGGCTGTATGTTTTGGGGCTTATTTCTGGGGTCTTCTGTTCCATTGGTCCACTTGTCTGTTTTTGTGCCAATACCATTGCTGTTTTGATTATCACACCTTTGTAATATATTTTGGGATCAGGGTGTGAGATGTTGCCCACTCCACTCTTCTTGCATAGGATTGCTTTGGCAATGCGAAGTCTTTTATGATTCCAGACAAATTCTATGTCTTTTCTAGATTTGTGAAGGATGTCTCTGGTAATTTGATTGGGATTGCATTAAATATGTAAATTAATTTGGGTAGAATTGCCATTTTGGTTGTATTAATTCTTCTAATTCAGGAACATGGGATGTCATACTTTTTTTGAGAGATTTTTGCCATAGGACATAAGTGTTCGTCAGAGAGACAGAAAACCAGAAATCATCCCCTAGGGGAAATAGCCACATCACAATCCCTTTTCCTTCTACTTTTCTCAGGATTTTGAGCACACATGCATACATACCTGCTGTGGTTTAAGCCACTGGGTCCTGGACTTGAACTGCCATCAACTACATTGGAGTTAAGTGATGTAACCATTACAGCGTCCACTGGTCCCATGTTTCTACTTTTTTTCTGTCATCTTCAATTTTTTTAATTTTAATTATTTTAGATTTTCATAGTTTTTCTTGTAGAGGTCTTTGACTTCTTTAGTTAGCTTTATTCCTAGATATCTTATACCTTTGTAGCTATGGGGAATGGGATTACTTTCTTTAGTTTTATCTCGATCTGCTTGTTGTTTGTATATAGAAATGCTATAGATTTTTGTATGTAGATTTCTGTATCCAGACACTTTACTGTATTAATTTATTATATCCAGGAGTTTTTTCATGGATACCATTGGGTCTTCTATGTATACAGTTATGTCATCTGCTCCCTATTTGAATACCTTTTATTTTTTCTCTTTTCTAATTACATTAGCTAGGACTTCCACTGCTGGATTAAAAAGCAGTGGAGAAAGTGGGCAGCCTTGTCTTGTACTAGATTTTAGTGGAAACACTTTCAGCTTTCCCACATTCAGTATGATGTTTAGTATGGGTTTTTCATAGATGACTTTTATTGTGTTGAGAAATGACCCTTCTATGCTGATTTTGTTGAGTTTTTTTGTTCGTTTGTTTTTGACAGATTTTTACTATAGGGCACATGTGCTCCCTGGAGACACACACAGAGAGAGACAGAGACAGAAAGTGAGAAATCACTCCACCTCCCCGGGTGATGGTCACACTACAATCCCTTCTCCTTCAGTCTCTTCTCTGGATTTTGGGCATGCACACACATGTGCCAGATGTGAGTTTTAGGTCCAGGACTGAAACTGTGGCCCAATGATATAACTATTATGCCATCTGCGGGTCCCTTTCTGAGAATATTAATCATCAAGTAATGTTTTATTTTATTGAATGTTTTTTCTGCATTGATTGATACAGTCATATGGTTTTTATCTTTCTTTCTGTTAATATGGTGTATTGCATTTATGGTTTGCATATGTTGTAGCACCCTTGGATCCTGAAATAAAGCCTACCTGGTCATGATGTGTAATCTTTTTTATATGTTGTTGGATATGATTTGCTAGTATTTTGTTGAGAATTTTTGTGTGTTTATTCATCAGAGATATTGATTTTTAGTTTTTCTTTCTTGTCATTTTATTATCTGTTTTGGGAATGAGAGTGATGAGGGCTTCATAAAATGAATTTGGGAGAGTTCTTTCCTTTTGGATCTTTAGAAACAATTTGAATAGAATAGGGGAACGCTTCACAGATCTGCATGTCATCCTTGCACAGGGGCCATGCTAATCTTCTCTGTATCGTTCCAATTTTAGTATATGTGCTGCAAAAAATAAATAAATAAATAAATAAAATAGGGGTTAACTTGTTTAAAAATTTTGTAGAATTCAGAAGTAAAACCATTGCGTCCTAGGATTTTTTTTGTTGGGAGGTTATTTATTACTGATTCAATCTCATTGCTTTTTATGAGCCTATTTGAACTTTCTATGTCCTCCTGACTCAATCTTGGTAGATTACATGTATCCAGGAATTTGTCCATCTCATCCAGGTTTTCTTGTTCATTGGCATATAGTCACTCACAATATTCTCCAATGATGTTTTGTATTTCTCTTATGTCTATTGTAATATTGCTTATTTCATTGCAAATTTGATTTATCTGGTTCCTTTCTCTCTTCTTCTTAGTCTAGCTAATGATGTGTCAATTTTGTTGTTCTTTTCAAAGAACCAGCTTTTGTTTCATACATTATTTGTATAGTTCTTTTCTATTTCATTGATTTCTGCTCATATCCTTATTATTTCTTTTCTCCCTTCTTTGTTGTTGTTTTTCCAGTTCCCTGAGGCATGATGTTAGGTTGTCCATTTGGCACTTTTTTTTTTTTTTCTTTTTAAGAGATTTTTGCTCTAGGATATGTGCACTTGCCGGAGAGACAGGGAGTGACAGAAAGTGAAAACTCACTATCCAGGGGGATGGCCATGCCATAGTCCCTTCTCCTCCATTCCCCTCTTGGGAACTTGGGCACTTACACACACTTGCCCAGTGGAGTTTTAATCTGCTGGGTCTGGGACTCAAGCTGCGGTCGACTACATGGGAGTTCAGTGATGTAATCATTATGCCATCTGTTGGGCCCATCTTTTTTCTGTGTGTACTAATTACTGTGAACTTCCCTCTTATGACTGCTTTTGTTGTATCCCATAGATTATGGAAACTCATGTACTCATTTTTATTGGTTTAAATGAATCTCCTGATTGCAGTCTTAATGTCTTTAGTAGTTGTGAAGTCATTCAGGAGTAGGTTGTTTAATTTCCATGTGTTTGTGTGTTTTCGTGTTTTTTTTTTTTTTTCTCTGAGATTAATACCAAGTTTAATTTCATCTTGGTTGAAGAAAATAGTGGATATAGATTCGATACCTTCAAATCTGTAAAGGCTTGCTTTTTGCCCTATCATGTTGCCATTCTTTGAAAAAGTTCCACTGGGGGGGACCAGCAGTTAGCGTAATGGCTATGTCTCTGGACTCCCATGTAGTCAACCGCGGTTTGTGTCCTGGACCTGGTGGCTTAAACTCACACCAGGCACGTGTGCGTGCGTGCCCAAGATCCCGAGAGGAGAATGGAGGAGAATGGAGGAGAAGGGTTTGTGGCATGGCCATTCCCCCTGGGGGTGATTTCTCACTTTCTGTCTGTCTCTGTCTGTCTGGCGAGCGCATGTGCCCTATAGCAAGAACCTCTCCCCCAAAAAAAAAAAGTTCCATTGGGGGTGAGAAAAATGTGTATTTTGTGGGTTTTGAGTGGAAGGTTCTATAGATGTACGTTAAGTTCATTTGATTCATGATGTCATTTAGATTCTGTATCTCTTTGCTTATATTTTGTCCTGATAATCTGTTTAGTGGAGAGAGTGGGGTGTTGAGGTCTCCAACTGTTAGGGTGTTGCAGTCCCAGTATTCTTCATGGCTATTTGCAATCACTTCTCTTTCTTACCTCCAACACCAGGTAACCATTTGTATACTTTCTTAGTCCTTTTTGTTGTTTTCATTTGAAAGGCTCTGAAGAATAAATGGTCTTTCATGTTGGCTCCTTTTACTGAGCATAATGTTTCTAAGGTGCCCACATTATAGCATATATTAGTATTTTGTTATTTTTTATTGCTGTATACTATTCCTGGTATAGATACCCCTTATTTTGTTCATCTGCATACTGTTTGATAGGCTTTTGGGTTGTTTCCACTTTTTTTTTTTTAGGTATTATGAATAATACTGCTGTAAATAACCTGTTAATCTTTCTGTAGACCCATGTAACTTCTCTTGGGTAGATTTCTAGGTGTGAAATTGCTGAGCTGTGTGATAAATTTGTTAACTTATTTTCTTTATTATTTTATTTTAGACAGTGTTTCACTGTTGCAATGCTCTTGGATCATTTTCTCAGCTGGTACTATAGGCATGCTCCACTATTCCTGACTTCCTTTATTAGATAGAACTTGCCTGGGTTAATGCTTTGCCTACCTCAGCCTCCCAAGTTGCTTGGAGTGTAGGCACACACCACCATGCCCAGCGTTTTGGTTGGATCAGGATTGGAACCTGTACTTACCCTGTGGTCCCAGCCTATGCAGCAGTGACTTAGCTGCATACACACCATGACAACTAGGTCAATTTATGGTTAACTTTTGGGGGAAACAAACAAGCAATCAACAATTTCCAAATGTGGTAGCATGCAACATTTTACATTTTTTTCTTTTTTTTCTTTTATTTTTTTTATTATTTTTTATTATCTACATTAATTCACTATACACCATCACAACACACAAATGAATTTTCCATCCAAAATACACTGTGCATTGGTTCAATCAAGCACATCAACATACATGTTCTCAGCAAATAATTTTCCAATTCTTACATCCTGCATACCTTGCCCTTTGTCTTGCCATCCCTGATTCCCCATCCCCCACCCTCTGCTATGTCCCATCTTCCTCCTCCATTGTCCCTGGCATCCATGGTTGCCCTCCATGCCTTCCGCTCCCCCCATTCAATTGTTCTGCCAATGAACTTAATTAGTCTAAATATATCCAATAGCTAGCACAGCTGACACATACCTATACATGTACCCAAATCTGACCCTAGGCATAAACCCCAGTGAGTATAATGAACATGCTATAAAGTAGTACCCAGCTGTGTCCATACAGCTCACTGCAGTCATCAAATGTGCATTTTTTTTCCTGCAACCTTTTTTTTTATTATTATATTATATTACCTAA